TTTTGGGGTTTTCCAGTGTTTCATTTTGTGAATGCATTTTGTCCTTGTAGCATTGTCTGTAGGGATTTGGACTGCTCACCCAAAGGGGGCACCTCTCTGGTGGTTTGAATCTGCCAGTGGGAGATTTGAATCTGCTCCATGGGAGAAAGGTGGGCAGTCTCCTCCTGAGCCGTTTACTGCCTCCTGAAATCACCGGAAAGGTCAGCTGGGGGTCAGCTCCAACTCAACAGCAATGAATGAGTTGAATTTTTTTACAAGTGAGTAGATAATCCCAATACATGTATTTCACATGTTATATATAAAAATACCTTTTATATACTGTAGTAATTTCCCATACTTCATAAGTGTTTAATGTTAGTTATTTTTATATTTTATTGGTTTATTTGTATTTCCATCCTATTCTAACATACCTTATGAGATCCATCTCATCATTCCCGTTCTACAGAAATGGATAGTAGAGATCGCAGCTCTGGGGACTTGATGAGGCCAACAGCCAGCTTCTTGGGGGAAGTGGCAGCCTTCATTCAGGTTGCTGTTCTCAGGGGTTCTGTGGGTGGTCTGTGAAATTACTTCCTTGTGAGATTGCAAGCCTAGTAAGAATTGCTTTTTGTTTTCTTATATTGGATTGAATAGATAGAATTAATTGCTCTGCTAATTTTCTGGTGTCATAATAATAAAATACTTAGGAGGAGCTAGTAGAGTGGACTTTTAAATACCACATGGCTTGGAACTTCACACGAATTGGATATAAATATTAAAAGAAACCAAAATAAAACTTGTTACCACTGGTCAGTTCTGACTCATAGTGACCTGTGTAGAACAGGGTAGAACTGTTGCCATAGGGTTTCCAAGACTGTAAATCTTTAGGGCAGTTAAACTGCCTCATCTTTCTCCTGCTGAACAGTGGGGTTCAGGCTGCTGATGTTTTGGTTCATAGCAGAAAGCTTTAACCACATTGTCACTAGAGATCGTTGCTAAAAGGATGGAGAATAACAAAATTAGAAAGGGTTAATGCAAAGATGAAACGTGTAGAAAGTCACAGCAGATGTGTCACCAGCTTTCCACTTTGAGCTTGTTCATAGATCAGAGTTATCACTCAGTTGCTAGGGTGAGTTAGAGAACTTTTTGGCAAAGGGGGAATCCTTGAAAATTTCCTAGTGGCTCATAAATAATGTGGCGCAGCTGAAGAATAAAGAGCCAGGGAGACACCTAAGGGAACTGCTGCCTTTTAAATCATGCTGATAAAGAAACACTTGAAGGAAAGAAATCCAGTGTGGTGAGCCTCCTGACCAACCTTTGATGATAAAATAGATGCCTCCTTACTGTTGACAACAAGGTGGTGTGGCTTGCTGGCAGACTCTAATAATGTGAGAACAAAAAGAGCAGTGGAACTACCAGAAAAGCTTCTGAGAGTATTTTGTGGACATTTCTGATTAGCCCAGAGGATTTTTCCAGTATTTTATTTGTGTGAAGAGTGTTTTTGTCTTCATTATAAAACTATAGATGTGTAGGTTGGTAGATGGGCTGAAGGACTCACTAAGGACTAAAAATATTTTTCCAGTATTGTTGTCTTTTCATGAAAATATAGGCAAAACCGTTTTCTCACTAAAGCAGGAATATGAATTCATCATTTGAAATTTTGAAATACAGATATGCAAATAGAAAATAAAGATTACCCATAAGCCCATTCACGTGATAGAATCCCTTTTGTCATTTCATTCTTCATATGGAAATTTCTAATCATAGTAAGTCAAAGTAAAAGCAAAGATTGCTTTGCAAAAGGAAGTCCACTAGTGTTTTGAGGTTTTAAGGGATACCAGACACATAGTAAGCTATAGTGCATAAGGAAACCATAGTCATTTCAAAATAGTGCATGCCATTTATAAATAATATGTATTAGTTTAAAATACAGTACTACAGTGTTCCATTTGATATTAAAATTTTTAATGCTACTACATCGATTCTTTACTCAGCCATCAGTGACCTGCCTGATGGTGGTCCATTGTACATGTATAAGAACAATCTCTTGTTTTCGCTCTAAATTGTGATTCAAAGCAAATTAGCTTTCCCAGGGAGCTATGTGGGAGAAGGATGGGCAGTATCTTCCCATGCAATTACCACCTCTGAAAACCTCTGAGAAATAGAGGGTAAGCTATGGGATTTTTCAACTTGATGACACACAACAACCACACAACAGTAGAAACCTTTAGTGGCCTAGTGGTAAGAAGCTGCACTGCAATCCCAAAGGCACGTGGTTTGAATCTACCAGCTGCTCCACTGGAGAAGGATGGGCAGGCTCCTTCCATGTAATTGGCTGCCTCTGAAAACCCGCTAGAGGGTCAGCTATAAGATCGTTCTGACTCAAAAGCACACAATAGCAGTCAATAGCTCATACACAGATGCTTCAGGAATTAGTGAGTTGCAATTCTTGTCGTGTAACAGCACTTTCTCCCTTTCTAGCGTCGGGTCTCTATTTCCCTTTGGTTTCCATGCCGCCCTTTATCTTGTCACGTTTGATTTTGGGCAGATGTTGCTCTTGGGTGTCATATAGTAATTGCTCCAAAGAATAGGTCCTCTATGTTGTCTTAGGATCTTAACTATGTTGTCTTAGGATCTTGGCTGGGAGGTCGCTTCTGCGACTGTCTTCATTTTCAAGTTCAGGGCTATAGTCTCAGGGATTCTAGTCTCCTGCCTAGTGAGCCTTGTGTTGTGTTTTGCTCTTTTCTCATTGAATTTTGTTCTGCCCCCACCCTCACTCTCCCCATTTTCAGCCCTTTCTGACTTTAATCTTTGGTTGTAGTCTCGGTGAGAGTGGTCAGCAGTAGTAGCCGGGCACTATCTTCGTCTGTGGGTGTCATATGGGCACTTAGATCTTCGGACTGGCTGCTTCCTTGCATTATACTGGTGGTTCTTTCTACATACGTATTTGCAAAAGCTTCAAGGATGCTTGTGTATTTAATAGATTACAGAGGAAGCACAGTTACAGGAACTGCTTAGACATTGGAACTCAGGTACTAGACATGAAGGCTAAGGGCCACAGCCTGGGGGACATCGAGTCAGCTGGCAAAGCCAGTTCAGAAAGCCCCCGTTCTACATTCTAGTCAGGTGAGCAGCCATCTAAGAAGCAGTTATGAGTCTGTTTCAACCCGGAACAAAGAAAATGGAAAACTCCAGGATGCATAGTGCATGGGAGTGTATGTATTCCCATAAAGATCTCTGTCCCTTACTTTGTGTTTATATTTATCTATATATCTCTCTCACACATTATTGCCAGTCATCCCTCTTGTTGATAGTAAAAGTTAAGCCCTTTACTATAGTTCTGTATTCTTGGGTAACTCTCAGTATCCACTATCTTTCTTTGCCTTGGTTATATAGTGCCAGTTTCCCCCATATTATATATGACCTTACACTTCACGCAACTGCCAACCTTTCTGTTTGGTAAGTGCAAACCATTTGAGCAAATTAGTGAAGAGAAAAAAAATCAACGATACGTAGTAAATTTTTAGCTAATAACCTAGTTTGTTGGGAGTTGCTAATCCAAGGGTGCCCTGCCTCTAGCTATTCAAATCCACCAATGGGAAGGCTCTGAGGGAGAATGTTGGCAGTGTCCTCCCATGTGATTTACAGCCTTGGAAACTCAGAGAAGGATCAGCTTTGAGTTAGTTCTAGCTTGACAGCAGGGAATTGAGTTTGAATTGAGGAGATACCATGTGTTTTGGTTAAGAGCATGAATCATCTAGATTCAGATTATAGCACTAGCATTTATTAGCTGTGCGTCATCACACAACTATGTATGATATGTACTTATCTCAGTTTCTGTTTTTACAAAAATGGGGCTAATTGCAGTGCCTAACTCTTGTAGTTGTGAGGCTCAAATGAGCTCATGGCTGTGAAGTGCTTAGAACAGAACACGCACACAGTAAGCTCTGTGTAAGCATTTGCCTTTTTTCTTAGCCTTGCTTTGGAATAGTGGGTACTGTTAGGAAATTCCCCCCGGAGTTCAGTTCTTCTTCTGACAAATGAAGAAGTGCTTTGTCTCCACTTGGAGTTCTGGAGCTTTGGAGCTTGTGAAGCTCATGAAAAATCAGAAAACAATTGCACCTTTATCAGCAGCCTGAAATGGGCTCACTTTAAACGGCAAACAGATTGACATCAGGATAGTCAACACTTAGAGCAGGCTGATTCCTAATGGTCTTAATTCAGAGGATAATACAAATTAACTAATAATTCATGCAGATTACTTGGTAAATTAAAATGTTGGGCAACAAGGGAGCTTTAGTGGCCCCTGGAATACTATTGGTGGCATTTATGTCCACCAAGTAATACTTTTAAAGAGTTTTAGGAAAAAAACCCCTGCTGTTACTGGAAGGGTTCTTCTCAAGTCAAGGTGAGGTTAGGGGGAGAACAGTGTAGATGGCAAAATAAGTCCTTGAGAAATTAATTCCATTTTAGATAACTTGTTGAAATAGTAACTTATCAAAGTTGTTATTCTGATGCATTAGCATTTTTAGTTTCACTTTGCAAGGCCTGCAGGCTCAGCCGTTACTGTTTCCAGTAAATGGCAACACTTAGGCAGCCAAAAAGGAATAAACTAGGAAGTCTAAAGAGAGTGCTTGTAACAACCACATGCTCATAAATGTTCTGGGTGCAGGTTTGTATAATCCGTACTGCTCTGGACAAGTTATTGAATCTCATTGCTTGATTTCCATGCCCCTTCACTTTCCGTATGGACTCTACAATGCTAGTTCTTTTGCTGGAGTTCCGCCAGAGACTCCAAATTGCTTGAATAGGTCACAGGGCAATAATCTTGATCATGATTCAAAAAGAAGGAGTAGCCACGTTTGTCTTTATGAAGTAAGAACACACTCCCTAGGAAGCCGTGCCTCTTTCACATGGCAGAGTTTGGTTGCTGTTATTTTCTGGCATGGCATGGTTATTAGAAGAGCAGAGCTGCCAAGTTATTAATGTATGTTCATCTTTTTTCCTTTTAGTTCACTCTGACTGCAATGGACAAGATATAACTTCGTAGTTAAAGAATGGCATCTGGTACTGTGCCTCCCACTGAAGATGAGAAGTCTTCTTCGGGCATCCATGATCTCCATATTTCATTGCAAGGTAATTAAGATTGAGTAGGGTAATTAATATCCATAGAAGCTGTGGAGACGTTTATCTCATCCATTATAAATGTACTGATTTCTATCTCTTATGGTGGTTTTTAGCTATATCCCAATTAAAGCATCTTCCCATACACTTAAATGTCTTTAAGGAACACCTGGATGAAATTAGTTCTCTTTAATTTCTTACTCAAGCACTTGTATTTCTTCTCTAGTAAAAATTAGTTTGCTTGACATTTTAAAGATTTTTTTGTAACTTAACATGTTGTTATTATGTGCATTTGAGTCTCCTGCAACTCATAGTAACCCTATGTACAGCAGCAATATTTACAAGTAAAACTTTTTGTATTTTGTATGTGAGTGATCTTTGACCATGAGTGGACTTACACAGAATAAGTTCTGGCTGTATTTTACTCATGCTAGTTGGGGTGTTATTGGTGTAGTATTTTTTAAGTATTTATCTTGTATTTTGAAAACCACCAAACTTTTTGCTTTTGCTGGTAAAGTAAGTCTTAGAGATGTATAAAGTTAGCTAGTCCTGAAGACAATGGCAGGTGCTTGACATTGTTTATGAAACTATATACTTAGAATAATTTTAAGATTATGGGCAGTGTTATAGAGTGTTCTTAGAATTTTACTTAAATGCTGAAGACTTAGAGTCACCTATGATAAATATTGCAAAGAAACATTCTGTCCTGAAATTTTATCTTTAGTTAGAAATGTGTTTTAATACAGGCAATAGTATCACAAAATGTGGATAAATAGTTAGAATCAAATTGTCATTTAAAGGGAAGAAAATGTGTTTCGTTTTTCTCTGAAGTTTTTGCTGCTTGTAAATATAACTCATGTAGCATATAAAATCCTTCAGCAAGTTAGTGTATATTGGATCAGTCCAATAGTTAGGCAAATTTAATAATTTAATTTCTTTTTTTTTTTTTGCATATTTAATTTCTAATGCTGTTCTGTTGCTTACTCATTCTTTGCGTTTGAATAAGATACTTAATCTTCTTGAGCCCCAGTTTCTACATCTATAAAATATAGGTGAGGACAATCACATTGTATCTGTGCTTTGAAGATGAACATTAATGTACGATACAGAGTAGGGACTCTGCAAACACATCTTGTTTGTTTGGTTCCTGAAGTTAACAGAGTGTTGCTGCATGGACTGCTAGCCATGTGCTGATTTAACCTAAAGGCACTCCAAGGGAAGGAAGGTCTGGTGGTCTGTTTCCCCAAATTCAGCCCTGAAAAGTCCTAAGGAGCGTAGTTCTACACTGACACAGGGTCACCATGAGTGGGGACCATCTTGACGGAAACGAATTTTATTATTATTTTTTTTTGTCCTTAAAAGCAGCAAACCTTTCATAGTTTTCTAAAGAATCCATACATAGTTTCTTCTTTTAAATTTTTTATTTCCATTTGTTGCACTTTTCTCCCCTTCCAGCCCTCCCCCCTAGTACACTACCCTCTTGGTTTTAAAAGTAAAAGACAAATTCTTTCATTGTTTTACAAACCCTCCCCCAAGTCCACTCCACCTTGTAGCCTTCTCTTTAGACACCTGTCTTGACAAAAATACCTAATCACGTATCCCTTTTAAACAGTTTTTTCCCTCATCTGTTTCAATACAGTATACATCATTGAACCCATCTTTCTCAGTTTCTCCCCAGTCCCAAGGTCAGTCCTGTTTTACAACAGTGGCACCATGTAGTATTTGTCCTTTTGTGACTGAAATACTTCACTCAGCATAATGTCCTCCAGGGTACCCATTTTGAATAATATTGCATGAGATCCTTGTTTTTCAATGCAGCATAATATACCTTGTGTGAATATACCACAGCTTCTCTATCCATTCGCTTGTTGATGGGCACTTAGGTTGTTTCCAACTCCTTGCTATTGTGAACTAAACTGCAGTAAACATGGGTGTGCATTTATCTGCTTGGATGTCAGTTATGGTTTCTTTAGGGTATACTTCCAGTAGTGGAATTGCTGGGTCAAATGGTATTTCTATTTGTAACTTTTTGAGAAAGCACCATACCGCCTTCCACAGTGGTTGCACCATTTTACACTCCCATCAACTGTGAATAAGGGCTCCAGTTTCTCCACAACCTCGCCAGCATTTGTTGCTTGTTGTTCTGTTAAATTTTGCTATTCTGACTGGGGTGAGATGATATCTCATAGTTGTTTTAGTTTTATTATTTTTAACTCTTATGATTTGAAAGGAGTTCTTGTCCTCGAGCATAGTTGGTGTAGGGATTGCATAGTTTAGGAAAACCTTGTAGCTTCATATCTGGATTTTCTGTTTCCCTTTTGACATTTCTCTTCAGTGACTTCCCATTGCATGTGGGATAAAGTCTGAACATCTTTTTTAAAATACAATTTTATTTTAATTATGATTTTTCATGAACGTCTCTGTACAGAGACGTTAGATTTTTATTCACTTTTGTACATTTTACCCCCTTGCCCTCCATTACCCCTCTCCCAGTTCACTTTTTTCCCCAGTATTCATTCATTGTTGCACAGTTACCCCCCCCTCCAGTCCTCTTTTGCAGTGATAGTCTCTTCTGGGCTCTTGTCATATACCTAATGCCTAATCTGAACATCTTGACGTGGCTCATAGGCTCTTCCTCATCTGGTGCTCACCTTCCCATTTGCCTTTATCACCCTTCACACTCCCATAAGCTCCAGCCCAGAGTTTTCAAAGAGCTGGGACCCCCTCCTCCCGTGTGTGCATTGTTCCCTTTCTGGCACAGCTCCCCTGCTTCCTTCTCTGCACTGGATCAAGTCCAGCTTCTCCATCCCTCATTTATCCTACGGTCAGCCAGCCTCCTTCCTCAGTGAGCCCTGCTCTCTTAGATCAAGATACTTGCTCCTTCCTCCCTTCTCCCATAGTACCTGTTTGTTTGTTTGGGGTTTTTTTTCTTTTTTAATTTTTAGAAATTAAACGTAAGTTTTGGCAGAGAACACTTGAACATTAATGAGTGTAGCCCTATGTACCAATACTGTTATACAAACTAAAAATGGATGGAGCTATCAAGCCATGGTACAAGACTGATTATTCTCAGCATGAAGAAATCATGAAACAGTCACTTCATCTTCAAGGAGTTTTTAAGAGGAAAATGGCAGCATGTACAAACCCAACAGTTAAAACAGGTGACATGGCATGGGTGTCTATTGTCAGTCCTACACGCCCCTCACACTGCCTGTGGGATAGTAGCTGTTGGTCATAGAGTTGGCTCTAATGTAGGTCTCATTGAGGGTTCCTTTGATTTTGCTGAGCCTCTTCACCAGACATGATGTTTCTTTACATTACCTGATATGATGCCCCTTTTCTAGTGCTTGGCCTTTTATTGTGTTATAGTTACTATATTTATTAATGTGTCATTTTCTAATAGATAGTAACCTTCTTGACTTTTCTGGAGCAGGCCCTTCTAGAGAGTATTACATGCATTTTCCTTATTTAGTCTTTCTAACCATATTGTGCGATTGATAGTTTTGTGGGTTCCCCTTCCTTTCTTCCTTCTCTTTTCTTTGGTGTTTCGAGAAGGAACGTGTGTCTCAGAAAGCCTGAGCTACAGCCTGACGCCTTCCATATCCTTGGTCTCCGTCTCCATAGGTTCAACAAATGGTGGTTTGAAACAGTAATTTTTCAAAGTAAAACAGGCTCATAGAAAGCAAATTTAGAGGTCAGCGCAATCACTCAAAGGCTAAGAGGGAATTTAAAGTGCTGTTTACATAGCATTTGTACTGTTTTTTACAAGCAATCTAGAGATGATTTAAAATATACAGAAGGATGGATGTGGGTAGGTTATATGCAAATATTACACCATTCTATAGGGAGCTCTGGTGACCTAGTGGTTAAGGAGCTGTGATGTCAACTCAGGGGCAGATGGTTCAAACCCACTAGCTGCTCCATGTTAGAAAGGTGGACGGTCTCCACCATTGCAATTTACAGCCTCAGAAAATGCACTGGAGGATTTTTGGTTCTGACTCAGTGGCACACATCAACAATCATCATTTTATATAGGAGACTTAAGCATCCATGGATTTTGGTAGATGTGAGTGTATTCTTAAACCAATCCTCTAAGGATGCGAAGGGTTAACTGCATTTTTCCAGAGTCATCTTGATAGTCAGCAGCAGAGCGGGGTTTTCATTGGAGCAGAGTTTTCTTCCCACCGTCACACACCTCCTCTAACACATACAAAAGACTGGTTTGAAAGGGAATTTCCCTAACAGCTGTCTGGGAAATCCATTCAAATCTTTTTTTGTTACATTATCAGCATACTTTATATCTAGAAAAAGGATTTGAAAATAATTGCAGTGGTTTTGATTTTAAAGGTAGCTAAAATAATTAGCAAGTTAATGAAAAGTGAGCAATTTCCTAGAACATGTTTTGAAAATAGCTAGGGTGTACATCCTGCGTCACAAGAAAAGACTAGTTTGAGCTGTCTAGCAGTGGAAATGTGCTACGTTCATGGCTAACCAGTCTGAGTTATTTACCTTCATGATGTATCTAGAAGAATCTTGGTGCTTGATGTGTTGCTGTGGGGGTAGAGGTGGAAAGCCAATACTGTGCTGGAGTCAGGTTAACACTGACAAGGTCTGCTTACATTAGCCCAGGTATCCTCAGGGATATCAGTGAAGTTATTTCTGTGCCCGTAGAATGAAGGCTTAACTGTAAAATGAATACATTTCCCAAAGTAAGGCTTCATGTTGTTAGTGTTGTTGTGTACCATAGAGTTGGAACCAACCCATAGCTGACCCTCCTGCAAGTTTTCAGAGGCAGTTACGGAAAAGGAGATTGCCTATCCTTCTGTGGAGCAGCTGGTGGCCTTGAACTGCATGCCTTCAGGATTGTAGCACAGTTTCTTGCCTTTAGGCCACCAGAGCTCCCTTCCTTATTGTTATTAGCAGATATATAATAATTCTTTTATCCCACGGTTTGGAGGAAAGGAAGGAAGGAGGGAGGGAGGGAAGGAAGAAAGGAGGGAGGGGGGAAGAAG